TTTGCAATAGGAAAGGCACAAATGTGTAAAACTCTCCATCAAATCTCAGGAAAATCTACCGAAGGAAACGCTATGAGAGAACTCCAAAACGTTACGTCATAAAGATCGATACCTGAACATGCGTAAAGTTTCGAACCTGTCTCCTTTTCGTAATCTTTCCCTCGGTTTTTCTATTTAGTCGACCTTTCTTTAGGCGTAGAAGGCCTATGGATGTTATGGGAATCGTTGTTCTACTAGATTGTTTTATACACCTTTTTAGAAAACAATTGTGCGATCGTATCGAGCCGCCATGTTTGTTTTGCTGGTTTTGCTTCTTGGCATTTTTAAAGCGCGCGCTTTGTTCGCCTCCAGATTTTGTGCGATTAAAAACCCTAGGGAGCCTTTTGTGCTTATTTCAAAACTATATTTGTTAAAAGTCAGACATCAATTACGGCAAATCATTTTGTAAATATTATGTGACACATACACTTGTTTAAAATTCCACCGTCTCGTTAACTTTCTAAGGATAGTGAAGTTTACCTAGTTGCGCCGTACATGTTTAATTTTTTTTTTTTAATTTTAATTTAATTTTATTTTATTTAACTTTCTTTAATCGTCGAATCAAGGCCACACCCTTCCTAAGGCAAAATTGCTTATTACAATCCGGTTCTGTAGTATCGCCTATTCACTGTGAACTAAAAGCGTGATCTGTATCCTGCCACCTCGATCACATTCTTACATCGCGTTGCCAAGCAACAGTTTGACAAAAAAGAGAAGTCAGTCTTACTGTCATTGAAATATTACTCACAATTTTCACGTACAGCAAGCTTGCGATAATTTTTGGATTCTGCGACCGTTTTTCTTTTTTTGTTTTTTTTTTCTTAATCGTAAATGTAAGGAAGAGCACAGTTTTTCGTAGCTTGAAATAGTTTTTGAACGGACGAAACAAGCGCTAAGAAATATAATTATAAATTGTAATTGAAAATCAAATCGCATAATTAGTATTTACATTCCGGCATGATGATCTCAGAGGAATAGCTAGCAAACAGTTAGAGAGTTATTACTGGAATGCAAGAAGTTTAACCTGTTTACTAAGAGATTGTGAACTGTTTATATATTTGTCCTGTTTACTCAAACATGAAGAACTCAATGTCTGAACGCAAGTATGAAACCTTATTTTAATTTCAACAATAGATGAGAACATTTATCGGCTGAAATATTGAATATATCGGTAAATCCGAGTCGCGTTCACTTTGTCTTTCCTTTACGGAGCGCTTCAACACCGGAGGTTTTAAACGTTGATTTATAATTATTGTACATTGCTAATGGTTTAAACGTTGATGTGTCTATGAGCGACCCACACTAAATCATCACGGCTTGGAAAAATTTATTTAAGTTTAGTTTCATTTTTTAATTTATCGATTTATTTTGTTTACTTGCAGGTCGACAGATGCACGAATAAAAAACAAGAAAAGGCTGTAAGACAATATTTATCCAGAGGTAGAAAACAAATGTAGCCCATTTCTTCCAAGATGCAGCGAGTCAACTAAGAGACATTCACCAAAGTCGACGACTTGAAGCCAAACGTGAGCAAATGGTGTGACGCGATTTTGTTGGACTTTGAAATTTTATTTGTCGGCCTAATATCCATGGCATGGACTGCTTAAAAATTTTTAATTTTCCCGCCAAAAAACTTAGAAAAAATACGGGTACCTTTAACTACGCATGCGCCAATTTTTTATTTAGTCTGTAACTAACATCTGTTCAGATATGGCTTATTTTCCCGCCAAAAGACTTAGAAAAATCGGCGCCTAAAAATACGCATGCGCCATATTTTTTTTTTTTTGTTGATCGAAGTTGTACACAAGCGAATATAGTTAAGTTAATAAACTTCATCTTTATTTCCACTTTGTCTTCCTTTTCACTCAATAAGCTAAGCTACGAAACATTCATATTCAGCAAAGCTTTTATTTGTTTTAAATTCTCTCTAATTACAAGTTAATTTTCAATTAAATGATGAAAAGGTGTCAAGAAAAATTTTTCGTACATATATACTAAGACTTTTGGCGGGAAAATTTGGGCCAATTTGCACAGAGTTTCCCCTGTCATCATTTTCGGCAAAAAATTTAACAAGACTTCCTTTAAAATTTCCCGCCAAAAAAATGATTAACAGCATCTTGTTCCAAAAAAAATATAGGTAAACGCCAATTTTTCTACTTGTAAAAAACAAATGAACACAGTTCAGAAAATTTCATTTCTTTCAAAAGAAATTCTGACTCAACGATGTCTTCCCTTGCCTTTTTGATCTACGATTCTTTGCACGAGATGATGTATGGAAGTTGTAAACGAAAATGCATCTTGGCAAGCTATAGAGAGCCCGATCAGAACTGGATATTCCAATCAAATTTATATGCCAGTTCATACCAACCCATTTTTTTTATAAGCCTAAAGCTTGCCATAAAACTTTTTCGGAGAAAAATATCTATCTCTAAAGCCGACGAATGTAACACAGGACACAGGTTGGAAAAGGATGAGATACATTTATCCAAGATTTTAAACTAAACTTGCGAAGCAATGCGAAAAATCAAAATAGTTTTCAAGTTTTGTAGCAAACTCTTTGAATTTGATTTCAGCCTTCAAGGCTCAGACAACTCACAATTGGGCTCCAAGTTTCTTAAACTAAATTCGCCTTAAAGTCTTAATTTTATTTTAGTCACAAGAGCGAGACAAATGACAATTAAGCTTCATTTTTGGTACGATTACAGCAAATTTTTCCACCTTTTCAGTTTCTGTTTTATTGCAATAGTAAACTTGATTGTAAGATGAAACTACAAATGTTTGGCAATGTTATTTTTTTCCTGTATTCCTGCGTTACATTGAGCGACGGCCCATAAGATCTTTCTCCCACTTAAAATAAGGAGTAAATGATTTAGTTAATTAACTATTTTAAAACCAAATGCCTGGTCGGAAGAGCAAAAAGTCGACCATCACGATATAGGAATTAAAAAGGTACTAGTTTTTTATCACAAGGACACAAAACTGAAACGTGAATTTGGACATAACTACTTTGCATTTTTGTTTCGCACTTCGGTGTGATATAATCAACTAGCTTTGTACAAAGATTTCAATTTATTTATTAGAATGTCTACATTCGTATGTTCTACAGTTCCATGTTATTCTTCATCATTAGAGAAAACACAACACAACTCTCTTGGTTCGGCAAATCATTGAATTAAACCGGCAATCGTGTAATTTGCTTTTCTGATTTGCACGTTTGTCCGGTAAAAATAAACTTAGCTGACTGAAATTTCAAACGGTTGAGAGCAAAGTAATAGCAAGGTTTATTCAATTTTCTTGTTCTTCTTAATGTTTTTCAATAGTTGTCTTCATTGGTTATTTTTCAAAACATAGGTTCCTATGTTCGCTTTGATTTTCGTCCGAACTGTAAAACTGTTTTTCAACTCTTTGGAAAATAATTTTCCTTTGTTCTTTTCATCGAATGAATGAATTCTCAATATAAGAAAACATACATTTCTTTGTCAATTTGTACTGGTCTAAATAATGGTAAATTTCTATTAGATCTGTTTCTCGAAAAAACTCTGCAGCATTTCTACCGAATAAAATCTACTCGAAAATGGAAACCGATAAATTTCTTGGTCTACCAAACGGTAAATCAAATCTATCGAAATATGAAAACCTCTATATTTCTTCGTCAGTTTACACTGGTCTGCACTACAGTAAATTCCAGTTTTACTTGTTTATAAAAAAAGGTTCTGAGGTATTTCTTTCGATTGACATTAACTCGAGATATTGAAACCTACATTTCTGCCTCTACCTATGTTGATCTATGTAACGGTAAATTTCGATTTGACAATCCGATTCTAGAAAAAGCTCTACTGCATTTCAATCGAATTATTATTATTTCCATTTAAAAACCTACATTCTTCGTCAATTTTTACTGGTCCCCATAGCTGCAAATTTGTTTTTGATCTGTGTCTAGAAAAAAAGGCTCTAATCGAAGTATGAAAACCAACATTTCTTCGTCAATTGATACTGGTAAAAATAGAGATAAATTTCGATTTTTTCTGACTCTAGGAAAAGCTGTACAGCATTTCAATCGAATGGATTTTATGCGAAATATTGACCTATATTTCGTTATCAATTTACATGTATGCTGGTCTATATAACAGAATATTCAATCAATTTAGTCAGTTTCTTAATAAAGCTCTTGAACAGGCATTTGAGTTTTAAATGTTACTTCTCCATTAAGACCAACTTCAGTTGATTACACAAAGTAGTGAACATGTTAAGATGGCACTGTACAAGAATTTTTCTTTATGTATAACAAACAAATACTTATTTTAAAAGAAAAAGCCATACCAAGAATAAAATTTTCTATTAGATCAATATGTTTTTGGAAAACGTTTATTCATGGTGGCATTTTTTGAGGAAATCGTTTGCACGATTTTGCACCCGAAAAGAAATGTTGATTGGCGTGAACGGAAATAGTCATCGAGTCAAGTGCTTTTTTGTTTAGAAGTCGAAAACTACTGATAAGTCTGTTTTGCAATAATTTAAATGGATGTCAGACGAAATTGGCGTTCGTCAGTTGATCAGCTGACAAGTTTAGAGCGTTCTTGTTTGGCTTTTAAGTCGTTTGTAAGTTGCTGGTAATTGTTGTCTCCTGTCAATGGCAGTCTCTCTTCTTAGTTTGTTAACCAGCTTTTCAAAGTCAGTCGGTGAAAATAGTGTAATATTGGTTGAATATCAAGCAACGTACCAGTCAAGGGTGTGGTTTGTTTGTTTTGTCTCTTCCGAAATGAGATTTTAAAACAGGTAAGATGAATTTAAATATTCAAGAACTTTGAAGCTGATTTGGTTTTTCTCCAGGGTCCTCTTTTGTTAGAGTGCCAACTCAACAAGTATCACCTTATTGCGACATCAACTAGTATATAACTGTGATTCGAAGTGTTACGCAATGTCATGAGGGATTAAAACTTGGAAATTTACGATTTCAGTTAATGCTTTCTGTGGCCAGGTTTTAAATCAATTCCTAATTGCTATTTAAGTTAATTCGATGGAATGGAATCATCTGAGATAAATTCCACCCAATTATAGCTTGCAGTTCCAAGTTCCGCTCAAAGTTTGCGTGACAATCCGCACCATAACAAGCTATTCCAAAAATTGTGGCTTTGAAAACTTTCACTTACCGGTAACCAGGTTTACTCCTGCATTCCAAGACTCGCAATGAAAGAATAGAGACTTTTTAGAAAAGTAGGACATATAAAGAGCCACCATTTTTGCTATTGTTACTCAATAATTACAAAATTCTTATCTTTCCGGTATCCACTAATAATTCAGTAATTCCGGTGTATCCTTTTGACAAGAATCTCTGTCCGTCCATCGTTTCGACAACTTTGCTTCTCCTGAAAATATAAATTATGATTATGATCAGGGAATGCTAACTGTCTCAGAACGAAGACGCTCAATCTTGGGACCTTAAAATCTTAAGTTCCATAATTTTTTCGCACATAGAGCACATCTAAAGGGAAAAAGGCCAAAACTTTAAGAAATATAATGTTGAACGAAGCGAAAGCCACCGAGTTATTTAAAGAGCAGTTGTCACCT